TAGCTTCATGTATATGTACGTGTATGGCGATGTTCAGTGGGGGAAAAGTTCCAGTTATATTTCAATCAAGTGATTGCGAATTGTTTGTGGTGTATTCTCTGGGTATAAGGAACTGAATGGGTATGATTTATTTATGTCTGAAGAACCATTTATTTTTGATAAAACATTTTGCTTTACATTTACATATGTGTGATTTTCTCAATCTCAATTGATCTCAATTCATCTCAATTGATTACTGAGTATTAACAGAAGTTTTCTTTGGACAAGATATGAACAAGTTTGCAATATTATCAGTTCACCTTGAAATAATTTTGTCTTTGTTTAGTACATCTAGGTTTAATTTGCAGGTTGTAGGTCTGTGAATATTGTGAATCCTCTTCAGATAGGTTTTAATTTAATTGGTCTGAATTTATTTGATGAGAAGCACTGATATCTATATCACTTAACATCGTTAATCTTGTCTTGAATATTTGAGGTTAAAACCTGGCCAATCAACCAATCAATTTTCTTTCTTGTCTGTTAACATGAAGCCAAACATGTTGAGTTATAGTAAACAAGTTGGATGTTCTATCCAAAACAATACTTGCATTACATGTATGTTAGAAACAGGCTAACTTTAATAGTGTGTTGGTGATCAAGCATGTCTTTCTGATTATTGAAAATCATTCCAGATGCCTATCTGTTCTGGTGTAGCCTCCATGTCTGACAAGAACAATGATTTAAATATAAAATATGAATCAGTGCTGGTAATTTGAAGTGTGTTGTTTTGACTAAATTAGTCTCAAGTGGCATCTCAGTCAGTCTGTATAGCTGTATATGTGTGTATATCTGGCTGCAAATTTTTAAAATGGAAGAGTGTTACAGATGTTCTTGGAAAAAGCAGGTTGCACTTATACTTAGAAATACTATATTTAAACTTGACAGTATTACCAGTAATGCATGATGAGGCTGTATCATGTTTTTAAAATAAGCTGTGGATTGATTTTGTTGTAAGTTCAGAATATACAGTATGATATAAACATGTTTTGTTAAAATGGATACATGTATGTTAAACCAAGCTGCAACACATGCATGTGCATGTGCATGTACAGTAGTCACCTTTAAAGACCCAATTTGAACTACTTCACTGATTGATATTGACCTGTCTAAACAGGCACAATTTTCTGGATAACACTCTCACTGGTTATTACTATAACTGTACATAGAGGGACACATTATTTAATATCTTCAAAAAAAGGAAGGAAAGCAAAATATATCATTGTAGTAAGAAATTTGACGGGGGACGTATATTGGAAACAATAGTAAGTCAATTTTTATAAAAGGTGTTGATTAAAATTCTAACTTGGCTCCGAGGCTTAGACGCATTTTTAAACAAAACAAAATTAGATGTTTATTCAATTTGGCCAACTTTGATGTGATTTCTGTCGTTTTCTCCTTCTAAGTCTCAGAGCCAAGCTAAAGTTTAAATGGTAAGTTAAGTTATATCAGCACTGGTACATGTACATATTTCTATAAAGATTTCTGTGAGAGATTGATATCTTTTATGCCATTAAGTGTAGTACACGACATGGTGATTCGTGTCAGCAGTGGAATAACAAAACTGAAGAATGCAAACCACTATGCCAATTTTGCTGATCATGGGAACTTATTTGTTATACAATGTATACTTTTAGTAAGAACTGAATGAAGATCCATTGAACAAGTACAAGGAATAAGAAACTAACTGACAAAGAGGAATAAGTTTGCCAAACGTATAAAAATTCACTGTCAATCTAGTATTGTAAGTCTTCCAACTTAGTAAAAACAGAGTTTTAAATGTATGGTAGAGAGCAAACCTCGATCTTACTAGCCAAGCCCGACGGCCACAGCAGGGAACATTGGCCCAAGGTGACTAGCAGTTGTATGAATTGAGTGAAGTGAGGTCCACACAAAAATGATCAAGGGCCAATATTTCCCAGTACATCTCTAGCAATTGGCTAGGTTAGTAAGTAGTTTATCATATGACACTCAAGCCTAGTCGCTATTCTGGCTTTCAAAAGCAAAAAATACATGGATTATGACTGTTTCCTTGGCAAAATCCCTACCAAGAAAGAACTGATCAGAACACTCAGATTGTCCTCAAGACTACCTTGCCATTATGCATTGTAATAATGAAGATAATTGTATGAATATGTCCATCCACTTTGCTGAACTTGTGGTTGTACTTTCATTTGACAGATGAGTCCTGCAATACTTTCAGTGCTTGTTCTACTCAGTGTGTTCCTCTCTGTTGTGGATGGGATTAATGACACAGTGAGCCCTGGTGTTGGCAATAGTAGTTCTGTTGTCAACATGAGCACTACAGTAATGCCAACCACCCAGATAACCACAGATTTACCAACTAATGCTACTCCACAGAATGCTACTCCAGGAATAAAGATTGGTGAATGTCACGGCTTCGAAGTGTTTGTTCTAAACAACCAGCTCAATATACCGTACACTGTCACATGCTGTATTGCTGTCCTCTGTGGATTTTATCTGATTTTATTTGGTAAGATTTGCTTGAATGTCATGTACAGTATGAGTAATTTTGTCAGTGAAACTGTGAATTTGGTACATTTTTCTGATTTTTACCGACTTGAAACACTTAATTATTTACTGGCAGGAGCTCCTAGCAAAATAAAAATACAGTCTGTTTAACAAATAGATTCCATGTTAGCGTGTGTCTGTTCAGTATTAGTCTATATCTACTAACATTCTATCATGAATGCCGTTCTCTGATTGGCTATGCTATTCACCATCTATTCTGTGATAGATAGTGAGTAGTGTAGCAGTGTGCACTTGTTAGCAAAATGAGTGCCTCTTCTTTGCGTTTTCGAAGTGTCTGTGAAGAAGATTTAGACAAAGTTTTGAACGACTAGTAGATTTATACTAAAACAATTAGATTATTCACTTTCGATTTCTATGCTTGATAGTTGACTCAGGCTGCGCCCTTGTCAAGTATTACGCGATAGAAATCTCGAGCTCATAATCTAACTGTTTAATAGATCACAGATCACAGATTGCTTCAAAAAGTGGCACATGAGCCATCAGGTGAGTGTGTCAGTCGTGTTCTTTCCACATTTTGACGTTTTCAGCTGTGATCTATTACTGAACAGATGCATGGCAACATGGAATCTACATGTACACGTATCTGCTTTATATAATAAAGAAACCATTAAAAATGTTAATGACATCATTTATGGATCTTTCCTCCAATAGATCATAAGTAACAACCAATCAAAATGAGAGAATACTTCTACTTTTTTTACCGTTGGTTTGAGAACATGGCGGCCTTATGCACGGTCTACACTGTACTGTCATGACAAGTGAAGATGATGATAATGAATTATTATTGACTTCAACTACAGTGAACAAGGCAGTCTGCAATCTTACATGTAACATGCCTCTTTAAGAGTGCTCTTGTGCTCACTGTATTGTAACCAACTGAAGACAAATCATGAACAAGGCATACTGATATTTGTAATTATATCCTTTATGTTATAGGCTACAGATTTTTTAAGAGCAGCCTTTTTCTGTTGGGGTTCCTGTTTGCCACCTTTGTCACCTACATTATTGGCAGTAACCATGCTGACCTGCCATCCTGGGGTCTTGTTGCAGTGGCTGTCGCTGTTGGAATATTCTGTGGGCTTTTGACGATGTTTGTCACTTACTGTGGCCTATTCCTTGGTGGATTTGGCCTTGGATTCTTCATTGGCATTGCTATATTCTTTATTGTCGAGACATTCTACCATGTTTCCATCAAGTGGATACCATTTGGAGTCCTCCTAGGTTTGAGTTTGATCTTCAGCTTGCTGACGCTAAGGTGGCAGAAGGGATTCTTCATTGTGGCAACCTCAATTATTGGGGCAGCACTGATAACGGGTGGTGTCGACTACTTCATCGAAGAGTTTGTGTTGATCAACTATGCTTGGCAAAGGATCATGGCAGCTGATGAAAAGGTAGACTGCTGGGTGAGTTGGGTCATTCTAGCGATATGGCCTGTCATGTTTATCCTGGGAAATGTGGTGCAATTCTGCAAAACAGGAAGAAGTTACACTCACAAAAAAAGTAAGCTCAACTAATTATTGTGCTATAAATCTTTTTCTTATACACCAGAAGTTAGTTGGCTATAAGGCATGATCACAGAGAACAGACTGTGTATGCTGCTGTTGAAGGGATTTGGCAGTTTAATGAAATGCTAATGTACATGTAGTTATCAATTTTGTTCTTACATAAAATTTTTACAGCACAGTGTGAAAAGTGTACAATTTATTGAAGTATACATGCAGGTAATGGTATGAATGCGAGTGCAATGAAGGATTTACACTAGTTATGAGTTATACTTGAAAATTCTCTCAAAATTGCCAGAGGTTTAAGGCAAGTGCAGTTTGAAAGAATTTTCAAATATCACGAGAGGTGTAAATCCTTATTGCTCTGCAAGCTTTCGTGCAAGAGACCATTTCTTGGTAGTGGACTGGAACTAGCTTGCAACTGAGGCTTATGCAGGGACTCTTTTCAAATGCATGAATGACATTTTTCTCTTTTTAATGATATTCCCTCGCATGAGCCTCTACTGCAAACTAGCTGCAGTCCATTACTGAGAATACGAAAATAGTCTATTACTCATTTATTATTCGACTGAAAAAATTACAAATGCGAGCGATAATTTGGGCTGCAGTGCACATTAATAATTGATGATAAATTGGCCTGCTCTCAGCCAATCAGAATGAAGTAATTACTTCTGGGTTATAAATTATAATTACTTATTTTAGTAATGTATCTTTTAGGATCAGACTCTGTGTCACTCCAAGGTGAAGATAAAGCAATGAAGAGATATCGCAGCCTAAACATGAATGGAGATGTGGTGGCAAAGGTAA